TTTTTTTTCTTAACACAAAGGCCCTTTGTGCAAGACCACTATCCTGGTGGTGGTAAGAGAACCACCGGGATTGAGGCTTTGCCTGGCGGGCCGCTCCATCTATTGGTGGGGAGCGTCACCTGCTGGAAACCGGGTCCAGCGTCCCATAAATACATCTTGCTGCACAGTGCCATAATGAGAGTGACGTCAGAGTGCTGGAAACCGGGTCCAGCGTCCCATATCCATTCTACTCTGCCCTACCTAGCCTGCAGCAGGGTCGGGTATTGGGGGGGGGGGCACCGGGGGGCACCACTGGGTTCTCCCTCCCTCCCCTAGCCTCTGCCATCCCCCAGCTATCCTCCTGACGCCCATTGTACTTGGCAGTAGCCTACGATGGAAGATTGAAGCCCCTAGGACAGGCTGTGGTACAGTCAACTTAACTCAGCTTAAATCAGCCAGAAATCCTTGGAGAAGTACAGAAGAATGCTGAAGAAGACCTTTTACCATCTTGTACCTAAATGAGAGTGATGCCAGAGTGCTGGAAACCAGGTCCAGCGTCCCATCTCCCCTCTACTCTTCCGCTGGGAGGGGAACTGAAGCCAGACTGTTGAAGACTGTCCGAGGTTTACAGAATAGAAAGAACGAATTATGCAGGCAGCGGGATTTCAGTTAAGGAGAGCGGGTGGGGGGGGAAGGGGTCCGTGAAGTCCTGAGCTGCCCTTAATGCTTCACCCGGGTCTACATTGGTCCAATCATGGAAGACCAACCGGTAATCCCTTTCTATCTCTAACCCGGGTTCCTCCTGTGGCCCCTTCTCCACCAGATCATTCCTAGACCACTTTACCTCGGCCACCCATCCCTCCCTTTCTTTTCCCAGCCATTTCTTGCCAAAACCAGAGATGGCTTTGTTTATGTCCCCCCAGTTGTGCATTTGGTCAAGCTTGTCTTTAACAGCCTTCCATAATCCCTCAAGGCCATCGCCCTTTAAAAAAAAAAAAAGAAAAAAAAAAAGTGCCTTCCCTGGCACGTTTCGATGGCTCCGATGTAGTCGTGGGGAGCTACACGTGTAACGCGCCAACGTCCCATCATTTTATATATAAGGGCCTGGTTGCACCACTTGCCGTCGGCCGACATTTTGAATGCATCTGGATTCAAATTTGTCCACATGCATTCGAAATGTTGGAGGATTGCGTTGCTCATTGATTGACGAGTGTGAACACAAAGGCGCCATCGGACGAGCTTTTTTTTTTTTTTTTTTTTTTTTTTTTGAGAAGATGTATCATTTTATTACCAAATCAATAAGAATTTTAGCCCGGGGACCTCACAATTCGACCCGGGGCCAAGTCCCACTAGCAGCGTTGAGCTACCTCAACGCCTGAATGTGGATGTGTTTGTGGACACGTGCAGTTCAGGAAACTCAACACCATTTCTGCACATCTCCCCAAAAACGTCCACATTCAGGCGTTGAGGTAGCTCAACGCTGCTAGTGGGACTTGGCCCCCGGAGCTGCCAAGGAACCACTTCGCTGGAAACCGGGTCCAAAAAAAAAAAAGAAAAAAAAAGAAGGAAAGAAAAGAAACCGGGTCCAGTGTCCCATGACTACTCACTCAATCACTAATAAAAACCACTCTTCTCAAAATGCCTTGCATCCTGCTGGAGCGCAGCGCTAGTGCGTCGCTTCTGGCGGCACTTGGGCTACGGGGGAGCGCGCATAGCCCAAACTTGTAGTCGGGGGTGGCGGAGGCGAGAAGGGAAGATGTGCGCGAGGGTGTCGGGGGGTATCACCTTGGGGGGGCACAGCCATGCCCCTGCCATAGCCCTGTCTCGGTCGACTTAGGTCGGCAATCCTGTGCTGATCATGGTTGGATGGGGACAGAAGTGAGGTGGTTGGCCGGGCGGGATCTGAGCGTCGTCTCATACCAGAATTATCACCTAGTCAGGGGCTTTGCCCACTGATTATAGCTACGGAAACCTAATGACTGCAGAAGATGGACACGTCGATTGTTGGACTTGCGGGGAGGTACGGAGCAGTGAAGAGGCGACGGGAAGCTGCAAGGACGAGGATTGGCAAGTGCGCGCACAGATACCTGGCTCTATCACTTGGTGAAGGGGTGACTGCCCCTCCCCCTTTTTTGCTGGGAGTGCTGAACAAGACAAGATGATTGTTCAATGGCCGTGGATATCCTTCTGTAGAATTTGTAGAATTGTAGCGCTGGAATTAGCTATCTTCGCTGTTTTGTGGTGTTGGGAATTTACCTAGCTACGAGAATTCTGGTTGTGACTTTAGTAATTCATTGGGTAGATTTTGTATTCTGTAATTTCGTTCGTTGAACTTTGTGCACTGGGTTTGACAACGTTTAGGGTCTCGCCGCATGGCACACGAAACGAAAACGAAACGAGTGCATCTGCCCACGAAAGGTGGCAAAATACATTCGTTACTATTTATAGCAAACCGATGAACCTGGCCATTTTCTGCAGGAAGATGCACTCGTTTCGTTTTTCGTTTCGTGTCCCGTGCGGCGACGCCCTTAGTTTGGCTCTAACTGGTGTTGTAAAATCGGGTTGCTTAGCTTGCGTGGTTTTAATAGGAGAATTGCAATTTCAGTGCTTAGGAATCGGTGGTGACTGTTGAGTGATTACGGGATACTAATTGTTTTAACATTGGAAAAATGAAAACAGAGAGTAGTTGGAAGCTCAGTAGCATTAGAATTGAACTTTTTGAATTGTGCTTGGTTTTTAATGGTTGGTTAGTAGTAGTTACGGGTTTGAGTAATCGAAATTTGTGCTCGTTTCTTAATGGTTGGGTACTGGTAGTTAGGGTTTGAGTAAATCCCTTTTTTTTTTTTTTTTTTTTTTT